ACATTTATTTTTCATCCTGCCCTTGAAATTAAAAAAAAAAGGACATCTGTTACATGAAAGCCCTATGAAGCGGTATATAAGTCTAACTGCTATTGCTGCATCTTGGTCTGACAGCTTGGGTCTAAATTTCAGGAATCCGGTGCACAATTTCAACCATTGAAGCGTTGAGGGGTTATTCTCGTTATTCTTCGTCCGACTTCTCTTTCTTTCCACACGGGTCTTGCTCTCTGTAGCAGAAGGGTCTTTAGGGCTGTCCAAATTGGGTAACTCTTAAGACTTTAGATTTCAACTCCCAGCATGGCTGGCTGGGGAATTCTGAGCATTGAAGTCACAAGACTTAAAATTGCCCAAGTTGGACTTCCACGCTTTAAGGTGTTTTGACGTTGGCTTATCATGCAGCTGGAGTCCTTTTCCATTTCTGATGTTCTAAGCAGGATCGATGCCTCTTCTGAGTGTCCAGATATACCGTCTGTTTCCTGAAATTTCTTTCAATTTTCTGAATTTTCTGAAAGAGAGATTCCTAGCGAGAGAACTCACTTTTTAGAAAGTTTATGGCTCTCTTGCTTTCTATGCTTTCTAAGGCTTTGCTAGTTGGAAATCCTGCTAGAAAAATCTTCCTTTTCTCTCTGGCCCTTTTCTTAAACATCTCGGAGGCCCATCGATGTACCTACATCGAGACAGAAATGCAAACTGTCACTGTCCATCCCAAAGGCGCTTTTTTTCAAGAGGCAGCTGGGCTTCCTAGTTTTTCTCTGAAGACATTTCCCTTCTCATCCAAGAAGCTTCTTCAGCTCTGACTGGATAGTGGAGAATGAAAGGATCGTCCAGCCAGAGCTGAAGAAGCTTTTTGGGCGAGAAGCGAAATGTCTTCAGAGAAAAACTAGGAAGGCCAGTTGTCTCTTGAAAAAGCACTTTGGGGACATCCTGAACAGGGATTAAATAATATCCTAATTTTCGGGCCAGAAGTTGAATCTCCAGGGCCAGAAGGTAGATAAATCCTTTGCAAAGTAATCCCAAACTTCTGAAAGTAGAATAGAGGTGGTTATATTTTTTTTTTAAGTGTGTTTGTTTTAAAAATCCAGAATTGGGGTTAGAAAATTGGAAGAGTAAGGGAAAAACAACTCCCTGGTTCCTAATTGGCAATTATTGGAATATTGTGAAAGGTAATGATACATGGAAATCTGTAAGTGTTAGCTATAAATCAGGAGATTATGAATACGTCTTTGTTGTTACAGGCTGTGTGTGTGTATCCCTTTCAGAAGGCTGCCATTAGAAGGCAGCTGTCAGCTGCTTTCTTGTAATTAAACAGCCAATGAGCAGCTAATTAAGACATATGTGTATACAGAAGTGGAAGTGGGCATGTTAATGAACTGTAGGAATCAATTCATTAAATGGAAATTGTCAAAAGACCAAACAGAAGCTTAAAGGCTCACCGCTCTGCCAGGTTGCCCAAGTAGTGGGGACGCCAGGAAAAACGGAGGCACAGCCGCCCTGCCCCGAAGCCCAGAACGGGCCCTTTGCTTCCTCTGGAGAGGAAGGGAAACCATCCCCTCTTTTCAGACCAATTCCTTGGCCTCCTCGGGGCTCCCAAGCAAACGATTTAGACCAGGGGGTGCCCAATCTTGGCCATGTAAAGACTTCAACTCCCAGAATTCCCCAGCCAGTGAGGCCATTAATGCCCCCGGGACCTGCCCTAAGGATGGACCCTGTGGGTGAAGTCCTCAGCTTATCCCCACAATCAAGCCAAACGTTTTATGTTGCTAAGTGAGACGGTGGTCTCGTGAGCTTTGCTGCATTCTGCCACCTTTCTTGCCACCGTTGTTAAGCGAATCGCTGCCGTTGCTTAGTCACACGGTTTGTGAAGCAGTGCAAAGGTGCCAGAAGGGGATCGCGAGATCCCAAGGCACTGCCACCACCGTCATAAATACGAGTCAGTCGCCAAGCACCTGAATTTTCGATCATGTGACCAACAAGGATGCTGCAACGGTCTTTAAGTGTGGAAAAAGCTCCTAGGTTGCTTTTCTCAGTGCCGTTGTATCTTTGAACGGATGAATGGTGGTAAGACGAGGACTGCTTTCTCCAGCACCCTCACCGCCTTCTTTCCCTCCTCCTCCTCCTCCTCCTCCTCCTCCTCCTCCTCCTCCGCAGGGTTTCTTCAGGAGGAGCCAGCAGAGCAATGCCACCTATTCCTGCCCTCGCCAGAAAAACTGCTTAATTGACCGAACCAGCCGAAACCGCTGCCAGCATTGCCGCCTGCAGAAATGCCTGGCCGTGGGGATGTCGCGAGATGGTGAGATTTCCTCCGCTCTCTGGTGGGGGAGGAGGAGAGAGAGACCCTCCCCAGCTGTTGCATGCTCCCCCACTGCCCCGCCGTAATTCCCCTGGAAACCCCCTCTCTTTAGTAGCCTCGGGGGGGTTGGGTTCCCTGTGTCCACGCCACGCACCGTCATCCAGATGTTATGGTGGCATTCAGTATTTGTATTTAAGCCACCAATGTTCCTTCTCATGTGGCAAAGTGTGGCTTCAAATTTCCTTCCTTTCTTCTTCCTTTCCTTCTTCTTCCTTCCCTCCTTCCTTTCTTCTTCATTCCTTCCTTCTCCTTTTCTCTCCTTCCTTCCCTCCCTCCCTGCTCCCTTCCTTTCCCTTTTCCTTCCTTCCTTCCTTCCTTCCTTCCTCCCCCTTTTCTCTCCTTCCTTCCTTCCTTCTTTCCTTCCTTCCTCCTTTCCTTCCTTCCCCTTCTCTCTCCTTTCTTCCTTCCTTTCTTCCTCCTTTCCTACCTTCCTTCCTCCCCCTTTCTCTCCTTCCTTCTTTCCTTCTCTCCCTGCTTCCTTCCTTTTCCTTTTCTCTCCTTCCTTCCGTCCCCTTTTCTCTCCTTCCTTCCTTCCCCTTCTCTCTCCTTCCTTCCTTCCTTCCTTTCTTCCTCCCCCTTTTCTCTCCTTCCTTCCATCCCCTTTTCTCTCCTTTCTTCCTTCCTTCCTTCCTTCCTCCTTTCCTTCCTTCCCCTTCTCTCTCCTTCCTTCCTTCCTTCCTTCCTTCCTTCCTCCCCCTTTTCTCTCCTTCCTTCCCATTTTCTCTCCTTCCTTCCTTCCTTTCTTCCTCCTTTCCTTCCTTCCCCTTCTCTCTCCTTCCTTCCTTCCTTCCTTCCTTCCTTAAGTTAAACACCTTTGCACCTTTTTTATCTAGCTGAAATTTAGGCCTGATCAGTGGGGGGTGTTTTGCCGTCCCCTAATATCAAAGGGCCCTGTGGCTTTTTGCCCTTTCGAATCTTGCGGCCCCCTCCCCAAAGCCGACCTTGGAGGGGGAGGGAAGGGGAGGTGACCAAATCTGTTGCTTTGGACTCTCTTCCAGCCGTCAAGTTTGGCCGCATGTCCAAAAAGCAGCGGGACAGCTTGTACGCGGAGGTCCAGAAGCACCGGATGCAGCAGCAGCAGCAGCGAGACCACCCGCAGCCCCCCGGAGAAGCGGAGCCGCTGACCCCCAGCTACAGCATCACGGCTAACGGCCTGACGGAGCTGCACGACGACCTGAGTAATTACATAGACGGTCAACCTCCCGAAGGTAGCAAAGGCGACTCTGCGGTTAGCAGCTTCTACTTAGACATACAACCTTCTCCAGACCAATCGGGCCTTGACATTAATGGCATCAAACCAGAACCGGTCTGTGACTTCGCTCCCACGACGGGCTTCTTTCCATATTGCTCCTTTACCAATGGGGAGACCTCTCCTACTGTGTCCATGGCAGAATTAGGTAATGACAAAGAGCGGGGAACCCCTCCCCTAGTTGCTCTCTTGCTTGCCCTTGGANGATCAAAAAGAATAACAGAATAATAAGAGTTGGAAGGGACCCGGGAGGTCATCTGGTCAAACCCGCTGCTCAAGCAGGAAACCTTATACTCTTGCTTTTTCCAAGCTGCTGATGCTAAATATTCAGATTGATTCCTAAATCTACAAGCCCCGCATTTTACTGATCCGCCTGCAAGAAAAATCGACGTTCTCTGCTTCCAATTCGAAACGTGGCGCGCTTGCTGAAAAGAGGAGAGGGGGGGGGGGAAGGGTCGGAGATTCTGCCCTCACGCACGACGGCGTCAAGTCCCCCTCTGCGCGTCCTTCCTCGCCACCCTCTGATTGGACAGTTTGCTTCCCGGGCGTGGCCTCACGGTGAGGTCTACCCCGTGGATTGGTCCATCCCGGGAGCTTGGGGCGGGGCTTGCTGATGCCGCCGTCAGGTCGGGTACCCACGCAAGGCAAGGGGCGGCGGGCCGCGCTCAAGATGGCGGCGGCGGCGGCGCCCGCTTGGATGTCGCTGAGCTGGTAAGGGGCTCCGTGGGGCTCCGGCGGGGGTCGCCTGGGGTCTTTGCGGGGAGTGGGAGGGAGCAGGACTGTGCCCTGCCGTGCCTTGTGGAGCCCAGGCCCGCGGAGCGTGCGAGACGACGGGGAGGAAAGCGAGCCTCTGGGCATGTACAGAGTTCCCCTCCCGCCCCAGCCCTAGAGAGACGCCAGAGGCTGGGAACGGATCGGGCCAGAAGGGAGGGGCAGCTTTTCAAAATAAACCAGAGTGGTACCAGCCCCATTAATTACATTTGGGGGGGGAGGGGGACGTGGACCCACCCACCCCCCGCCTTCCCTCGTGGTCAGACTACAGGTCCCATCCTCCCCGTCGCTGCTGGGCTGGAAGCAGCAAAGGCCCGCAGTCCCTTAACAATAGACTGCAAGGTGATTTGTAATTAATCTCATTATAAGGGAAATGNACTTGAAATATTCCTGCAATAAAATGTGATTTGTGTAAAGGTAGAAACAAACAAACAAAAAAGATTTTGTAATGTGAAAAAAAAAAAAAACCGAAAGAAAGCAATGTAATTTTTCTAAAAAAGAAAAAAAGAAAAAGCAAACCAACTTTGTATTATTTTTGTGGATGGGATTTGTCTACTTGTCTTTGGGGGGGGAAAAAGCATTTGATCTCGTTGAATGTGCCATAGCAGAGGCGCATGGGTGGTGGGTCCTTTTTTTTTTTTCCTCGTTGCGTCGTAGGTGAAAGGAAGTGATTTTTGTGTTTTCCGACATTCCGTAAAGCGTGAGGCCATCGCAAAATAATTCTTGTCAAGGATGCATCCGTGAGCTTCCGTCTTCGTTGCTTTTTTTTTGCACATGTCGTTCGTTTCTCTCTAGTGCAATATGGACGCGTAGAGCACTTGTGGGTTTATACTCAGGGAAAATTACATATTTGTTATACAGGGTTTTACGTTGTCGTTTTTTTGTGGTTGTGTGGGGTGGGGTGGGGGGCTGAGGGATGTTTCTTTTTTTTTCTTTTGCTAAGGAATGTCGATTGAATCACCTGTCGTCAAGGGGCAGCCAGATAATAATCCTAACGCCACTGCCAAACCCCCCCCCCCGAATCCTCTCTCGTTCCGGCCCTGCCATTCACCACCACAATTCCTGACCATTCTTTGTGCGAATTGGGAAAAAAGAAAAGAGAAAAAAAAGGGTATATAAGCACCTTATGATTGACTTAACTGTGAATGACAATCCATCTTGTGATCAGTAATAGATGCCCAAGAATTTAGAAGTTTTGGTTAAAGCTCAGGGACCTTTCAAACTCTTCAACAGGGAGACCAGAGTTATGGGTCAAAACGCTTTTGAGAAACGTGGCAACGTCTTCTTACATTGAGCAACTAATCTGGACAGAATTGCGTTTGTCCCCGTGGAGTGTCAGTTGTTTAGATTCTCAACTTTTGGCTACTTAAACCCTGTTAAAGATTCGCACGAAACCAACAGGAGAGGCTTTACAGCAAGAGTGTCCAAACTCGGGCACTTTAAGACCTGTGGACTTCAACTCCCAGAATTCCCCCATTCGTGGCTGGCTGGGGAATTCTGGGAGTTGAAGTCCACAAGTCTTAAAGTGGCCAAGGTTGGACACCCCTGGCTTACAGTATGTGTTGGGGAAATAAGTTAACGCTGACCCATAATGCATGTCAAACAACCACTGTTTTATCTTTTTTTTTTAATAACAACAACAAAATCATTGAATCCTGAATATTTCTAGATACTATTTTGTGCTTTTCCCAAGTGAAGAAACTTTGAGGGAACGTGGCAAGATTTTCCAAGGCCACTTTTACCTACATTTTAAAAAAAGAATTCTACAAGGGATAAGTGGAGGATTTTGGGAGTGATCCCCAATCCGGAAAGATTCCCTTAGGTGCCAAATACAGTTTCATCCTGTTATGCAAAATCAACCTTTCGTGCAACTTGGTTTAAATGTTTAACTTATTTATTTATCTCTCCAGGTTTGCCATCTGGTGCAACCTGCAGAGTCTGGCCATGTTCAGCAGCATTAAACATAAAGGAAAAAGCAGACTTCGTTATACTGAGATCATTAATTATACTGTCTGCTGGGAGGAGATGAAAATGATTAGATGGCTGTAGTTGCCGTGATTGACTCTTCATTCCTTCCCTCCATACACCTCTGACTTATTTACTTAAATAGATTATTACAACCTTTAAAAAAAGCTATTTAAAATCCCCCCAATGATATGTGAGCAGTTTTTCTCAGCCTCAGCAACATTAAAAACGGTAGGCTTCAATTGCCAGACATCTCAGGTGCGCTGGCTGGGGAATTCTGGGAGTTGAACCTCTGAAATTTGGTGAAGTTGAGAAGCCCTGTTATTTAGAGGAATACATATGCTGCTCAATGGCCAGGCGTGGGTTTTTCATTTAATTGAAAAGACCACCCAAATTATTTTAAACAGCCCGTAGTAATGACCCTCTAAGCCAGTGTTTCTCAACCTTGGCAACTTGNATTAGATGACATTGATTTAATATGCAACATATAGAATTGAAAATGAAGTAACAGCCGATAACAAGGGGTCCTTGGTGAACAAGACCCACTTTTAAAAGCAACCTGAAGCCTATTATTTCTTTAAGACAGACCTAATGATGCCACTGAAAAATCTTTCCCTATTTCTTTTAGGGTCTTTAGAGGTTGTATTTATCAGAATGTGCCGTGCCTTTGACTCTCAAAACAACACAGTGTACTTTGATGGCAAATACGCTGGGCCAGATGTATTCAAATCGTTAGGTAAGGCAAGAAATGTTCCATTAGAATGCGTTAACATTCTAAACACCGTTTCTAAAAAGTGCTGCTTTTTGAAAATATATATTTTTTATCCCAAACAAATATATTTTATGGAAATAACTCAAAGGATTAATCATAAATACCCAGGGGCACAATTTAATTACAGTTCTTTAGCCTTCCATGGGACTTAAGTATCATACAATGGTGCCCTGACATTTAAATTGAAAAATTACGGGTTTAAGCTAGAAATATATACCAAGCAGCAGAGTTTTAGTATACTAAATGCAAAAGCAGGGACTGAATATATATATATACATACATACATACATACATACATACATAATGCATGCATGCATGCATACATACACACACAGTATATCCTATGTTGCATTTTTTGGAAGAGACCCTGTTTGTTTTATTTTGCAGGCTGTGAAGATTTCATTAGTTTTGTGTTTGAATTTGGAAAGAGTTTATGTTCTATGCACCTTACTGAAGACGAGATTGCTTTATTCTCAGCTTTCGTTTTACTATCTGCAGGTAAGACGTCAATCCAAGGAAGTAATTTTGCTTTTTTTCAAATTAACCTTTTGGTGATATTCCGGGAGTATGAAATCCCACGTTAATATTTTCTGCCCCTGAGCCAAAATATTGTGCTTTCCCTTCAGAGCAATATATTTAGTTCAGTTCCAGCACTCTGCAGCTTTTCTTACCGAAAACCTGCCTTCATCACTTATCTTGGTAATCCTGAGAGTCAAATAGATGTTTGAGGAGAGGAATGACGTGGCTCAGATTTCCTCTTTCGTGAGGTCCTGAAGCTTGTAGACCCAGCAGCTCTCTTCTCACAATAAAACCTTTTAAAGCCCAACAGCTAATATTTAAAGAGCCGTGGTGGCGCAGTGGTTAGAGTGCAGTCCTGCAGCCTCCTTCTGCTGACTGCTGGCTGCCTGCAATTCGGCAGTTCGAATCTCATCAGGCTCAAGGTTGACTCAGCCTTCCTTCCTTCCAAGGTGGGTAAAATGAGGACCCAAATTGTTGGGGGCAATAGGCTGACTCCATAAAGTGCCTTGGAGAGGGTTGTAAAAGCCCTGTGAAGCGGTATATAAGTCTATGGGCTATTGCAAAGGAAGGAAGGAAGGAAGGAAGGAAGGAAGGAAGGAAGGAAGGAAGGAAGGAAGGAAGGAAAGTGGTGGCCCAGTTTAGAGTGCAATATTTCAGGCTACTTCTGCTGACTGATGGCTGCCTGCAATTTGGCCCTCCATCCTTCCGAGGTGGGTAAAATGAGGACCCAGATTGTTGGGGGCAATATACCGACTCTGTAAACCACTTAGAGGGGGCTGAAATCCCTATGAAGTGGTATATAAGTCTAAGGGCTATTGCTAGTCCGTCCTTCCTTCCTTCCTTCCTTCCCTCCCTCCCTCCCTCCCTCCCTCCCTCCCAGTGGTTAGAATGCAGCATTGCAGGCTAAATCTGCCCACCATCTGGAGTTTGATCCTGACTGACTCAAGGTTGACTCAGCCTTCCACCCTTCCGAGGTGGGTAAAATGAGGAGCTAGATTGTTGGGGGCAAGAGGCTGACTCTGTAAACCGCTTAGAGAGGGCTGAAAAAGCACTGTGACGCAGCATATAAGGCCTATTGCTAGTGCTATTTTGCTGCTGCTTCTCCAAAATTTCAGGGAAAATGTGAGCCATTTCTAGAAAGAAAGAAGCAGAGGATGGAGAACCATCGAGTGCTCTTCAGCCTCTCTTGCTTTCTACCAAGGAAGGGAAGATGGAGGCTCCCCTGAGATTGGTGCGCTATCAGGAGAGCTGGATTGCTCTGCTTGTGGCAGTGGAGCTACCCCCCCCCCCCAACACTTCGACCCAATAAATACAACATCCGCAAATTGTAATTGAAGAGACCCACCTGAACGGCCATTCCCATTCTTCCTTTCCTTGTAGATCGATCGTGGCTTCAGGAAAAGGTAAAAATTGAAAAGCTCCAGCAGAAAATCCAGTTTGCGCTTCAACATGTACTGCAGAAAAACCATCGGGAAGATGGAATATTAACAAAGGTAAGGAATCTACGGCAACTTTCACCCGAATGAGCAGCACCTTTTACGGAATATTCTGCGGTGCTTGTTTAAAACGTGATGGAGGAAAATTGCAGGGATTAGCTAATAAACCTGGAATAATAAAGATGAACCAATTATGAGGAATTGCTCTAGACAACATTAGATGAAGTACTTCTTTCTTCTGGAGTTTATTTTATTTATTTATTTTATTTATTTTATTTA